GGCAACTGCCAGCTGCCTGTGAGGCTCACTGCCGCTGATCTGCACCAATACCCAAACAAGACGGTAAGCCAACCGAGGGAGGGAGGGAGAGAGGATGGCTCTCAATCGGTGTGTGGTGTGTTGATGTGTTGTGTGTGCAGGCGTATTCGGCCGCTCCCCGTGTGTTGGCTCAGCTCAAGATGGTCGGCCCCCACATCCACTTCGGCGACGGTGAGACCTTCCAGCTGTTCCACCACGGCAACATACTGCGGGCCATCAAGGACGAGTACGGCTTCGATATCGACATCGACCCGCCCCTCCCTCCCATCCACCCCTACCAGCAGCACCGACAGCCGCATGACCCGCCAGTCCGCAGCAGAATCGCATATCATCTGCCCGAGGGCTGGCAGTCGATGGGCGCTGGGGACTACTCGTCTGTGTCGTCGTTTGTTAAGACCATTGTCATCGGCCACTTCAACGGGACTCACCAGATCAACTGCACCAGCCGTCCAGTCAGCAGGTGAGGCGGGGCATCATTCTGTGTGGGCATTGCCATAAGACACGAGTGACTGTTTTGTGTGTGTGTGTCAGACATGTCGACAACCACCGGCTGCACACCATCGTGACACAGTCCCCCCACACACCAGTGGAGGAATGCATCACAACAACATCGTACCTCCCCCTTGTCGGCCTCCGTCGTTCTCTCGTGCTGACCGACGCCTGCCAATCGTTCGTCGCATGGATCGCCGTCACGGATGTCGCCAACATTGGTCAGCCCAGCATGGCACAGCAACAGGGGAGGGAATGCAGTGCCACTCTCATCTCTGTCCTCTGCTGTCATTCGTTTGGAGTGCGTGTGTGGGTCATGACCACCGAGTCGGCTGTGTCTGGTGTGGGTGGCGCCTTCAAGGACCGCTTCCCAGTGACCACTCGGCTGGCGCGGGCGGTCCTGGGGGCCGTCAACTCAGCCATCCTGTCTGACGGCGCACCGGAACCGGGACAGCAGCCGCAGGACGACAGTGACGAAGGTACGGACACAGGACACGGGAAGGGACGCCCACGGATGGATGGATGGATGGATTGTCTTCACTGCTGTTGGTGTGCGGTGCAGATTCCGATAACGACGATCTGGACGGTGACGACGGTACGGAAGCAGACACAGATAAATGGATGGATAGATGACCCCCTTCTCTATCCTCCGTGTGTATGCTGCAGATTTCGATGGCGATGATGATGATATGGAGGACGACTGGGAGGACTTTGATGATGAGGACGATGAAGATGATGATGATGAGGGCAGCGGAGGTGAGGACACGTGTGTCTGCCTATTTGTGCCACCTGATTGATGCAATCTCAGCAGGTGGCGAGGCCGCGGCGGCGTCTGCATCTGCATCTGCATCGGCGTCTGTGAGCTGGGCTGCCTCGTGATGCATCGATGGATGGATGGATGGATACACTCACGCTATTTGTGCGTGTGTGTCCAGCCATCAGATGCACCATGAACTTTATGTGTCCAGTGCTGCGGTGCAGTGTGTATTTCACACTCGTTGCCTATCCACACCCACACATACATGTCATCACACCAGTTTCACAGACAGACAGACAGACAGACAGACGAACAGGCTGCTCCCATGCAGTCAGTCATTTTTGGCTGCTTGTGGGTGCACGGCGATTGATGCGTGTGGCTGACAGCTGGAGGCCCTTCCTTCCTGTGTGTGTCGTTCTGCATTCATGCACACCTCGTTTGGCCCCTAGATGTGTGCCACTAAGGCGTTTTTGCTGAATGTATCCATACTGGCGCGATGCGCTCCAGCCCTCCTTGCTTGCTTGTGTGGTGTCTCGGTGGAGGGACGGCTGCCTGCAGGTAGGATCCGATGCATGTGATGTGCGCTTGGCCCGTCTTGTCTGCTGGCTTGCCTCACATCGGCTCCTCCATCTCCCCCCCTCTCTCTCTCTCTGTGTGTCTGTACACATTTGTATGTCTTCTGTACACACCTCTGTATCGGTGTACACAGACGTATATTGCGTATACACTGACTCACATAGATATATAATGGACATACTCACATCCACCTGTGTCCATCCATGGCCATGTCGGCTTTCTTGTTGACGCTCTGCGGCTTTCCTCTCTCTCTCCCTCTCTGTCTGTGCCTCTCTATGCATGAATGGCTGACATCCATGCGCTCATTCATGAAGTACGGCTTCTCTCTCGAAGTGGGTCGATCGACATCGTGAGGATGACTGTCTTTCTGTGCGGACTCATTCATTTGATGCGCTCGGTCTGTCTGGAATGAATGCACGTGCCCTCGGGCGGTCCATCTCTGCTTCCTCGCCTCACGTCGACGTTGAGTGCGCATTGACATGTATTGGATTCGGTTCGTCAGTGTGCACTGCCTTACGCATACACACAAGATACACAAACGGCGCATCAGTAGCGTCCAAATGAACACGCCAGCTACCCCCAGACGCTCCTGCAATGGAGAAAAGTCAACGTTACTCGTGTTTGAGCTCTGCCCTAAGCGAAGTTCGCGCGTAGTGCCCGTTGGCTGATTCGCTTCGTTGCGTCAGATCGGTAGGTCGGCTGCCTTCCACAGGCAAAGCGATTCATTCACACACATCTTAATGCTGTGTGTGTTTGGCGTCCTTCCTTTGTGTGTGTGCAGGTCTGAGTCACTGCAGCTTCCGTGTCATGTCAGTCATCAGCAGGAGGAGCAGCGACACGGACTCGCCCGTCGTCAACGGCGAGGCGGTCCGCTGCATGTTCAGCGACTCGCGAGTGCGGCTGCTCAAGGTCAAGGACGTCGGCAGCCTCAGAATGGCGGCCCGCCACCACAGCCTCGTCGACTTCCCTCCCGATGCACTCCACACACGACTCACCCAATCGCTGCACAGCAAACGGCTCGTCGACGGCACGCTGCTCAACACCGTGCTGGCCTTCGACGCCCAGACGGTGTCTGAGCCACGTGTGCTGCTGGCGGCCATGTGGCTGGTGGAGAAGCAGACGTGGGACGAGGTGGCCGACGTACTACGGCTGGCGGAGCAGTGCGGCCGGTGCACTCTGCCGGTGCGGCTGACTGCTGACGACATCAACAGACACGCCAACAAGACGGTGAGACGCACACACAGGGGCGGGAGGGCACAGAGAGGGCCTCGTTCATTCTCCTCTCTCTCTCTGTGTCTGTGTGCGTGGTCGTGTAGGCGTATTTGGCCGCTCCCCATGTGTTGGCTCAGCTCAAGATGGTCGGCCCCCACATCCACTTCGGCAACGGCGTGCCCTTCCAGCTGTTCCACCACGGCACCACGCTGTGGGCCATCAAGGACGAGGACGGCTTCGAGATCGACATCGACCCGCCTCTCCCTCCCAACCACCCCTACCAGCTGCACCGACAGCCCGATGACCCGCCAGTCCGCAGCTGCATCACATATTGGCCGTCTACGGGCTGGGTGTCGCTGGGTGCTCGGGATTACTCGTCTGTGTCGTCGTGTGTCAAGAGCACCATCCTCAGCCACTTCGAGGGCACTCACCAGTACAACAGCACTCAACGTGCTATCAACAGGTGAGGCCGGGCATCACTCTGTGTGGGCATTGTCACGACACACGAGTGTACGTGTGTCTTCATTGGTCAGGCATGTCGACAACAACCGGCTGCACACCATCGTGACACAGCCCCACACACACCAGTGGAGGGATGCACCACCACTCCATCATTCCGCTCCCCTGACGGCGACACTTACGGTGGTCTCGTTCTGACCGACGCCCGCCACTCCTTCGTCGCGTGGATCGACATCAGGGAGCTCCGCTACAACAACCACGGTCAGTCCAGACGATACAACAAAAGAGGGAGGGAGGGTAAAAAGCACACACACACACAGCACTCACTCTCGTTTGCTGTGCTCCCCTGTCACTCTTTGCAGTGCCTGTATAGGTCCACACCACCGAGTCGGCTGTGTCTGCTGTGGGTGCCTTCAAGGACCGCTTCCTAGTGACCACTCGGCTGGCGCGTGTCGTGCTGAGGGCCGTCATCTCAGCCAGGATCTTCGACCAATAGACAGCTGAGGTATGTTTGCATCAACCACGACTGACACGAGCAGATGATGCGCACACACACGACGAACAGAACGGTGTCTGTCTTTCCATGTGTGTGTCAGGCTGGGCGGTGGTGGTGACAGTGGGAGGGACACTCACTCCTGGCCACATAGATGGCTTCAATGGTGCGCGTGGGGTTTTCCGACTGGTCAGTCTCTGTCCATCTGCCACTCGATATGCGTGTGTGCATTTACCAGTGGCTGGCTGCCATGGCTGTCTGCCTGTCTGCCTGTCTGCCTGTCTGTCTGTTTTGCCTCTCCCTCTCGCCGTCTGCCCGACTGGGCGATCGGTGCTTTTGTTGGTGTTTGCTGCACGTGGTGGCTGATCGCTGACCCCTCTCTCTCTCTCTGTCTCTCTGAATGTGTACCCCACTCTGTGTGTGTCCATCCATCCAGCCAGCCATCTGTTACCCATTGCTTGCTCCACACACACATCCCGACAAGACAGACAGAGAGACAGACAGACCGGCTGTTCCCATGCAGTCAGTCATTTTAGCCTTCCTGTTGGTCCTTGGCGACTGATTGATGCGTGTAGCTGGGTGGTGGCTGGTGGGTCGGCTTACCTTCCTCTCTCTGTGTGAGTCGTCCTGACTCCATGTGGTTTATGTGTGACCCCATGCATGGCAGTCGGTCGCCGAGGCGTTTTTACTGACCGCTCTCATTACCATCCGAATGGACACTGTAGCGATGCGGTCCAGTCCTCCTTGCTGATGCTGTGCGGGTACATGTAGCGTCTCGGTTGCGGTGTGATGGGTGCCGCATGAGGTGGGTGGGGTGGGATTCACATGTGCCTGTGGTCCATCTCTGCTGCCTTGCCTGTCTGTCTGTCGATCTCTGTATGTCTTGTATACTTATTTGTATGTCTGTACACAGACACTTATACGGTGTACATACGCACATCCATGCCATGCCATGCCATGCCATGGACCCATGGCCATGGCCCCCTCTCTCTCTCTGCAGACATGAATGGCTGGATCGGCAATACATCGAGGGTTTAATTGGCTTCTGGGTGAGTTGATGCAGCTGATGCCTCTCTCTCTCTCTCTCTGTGTGTGTGTGTGCGTGTGTTTGTGTTTGTGTTTGTGTTTGTGTTTGTGTGTGTCATGATGATTGGACGAGAGGACAGACAACAGAGACCGAGATGCGAAGTCTGGCGCATGTGTGCAGCCATCGTTGTCCGGGTTTCATACCCTGCAGCCCCACAAACCCTTTGAGATGTTGGTGCCAATAGCTATGAGTCTGTGATGCCTCAAAGCATCCTCCGGCCATATATTATTGTCATCGGTAGGCATATGCACTGAAGTCCATCAGCGACCAATAGAACACTCAGTGACAAAGCACTCGGTGCAGTCAGAAAGCCAGCCAGGCAGATCAGCCGAGGATACAACAACAAACAACAAACAACAAACAACAAACACACACATGCCCTCCCGTCCCTTCATGAACACCCGTGTGTGTGGCCTCCGTGTCAGATTTGATGACGGCGTGAGTGAGAGGTTTTGCAGTTGCGGCGGGCCTGCCAGCCCATTGATGACTCGTCGGTGCCAGCTGGGAGGCTGCCGCCGAAATCCAAGCAGTAAGCCGCCTTCTGCGAACTCAGAGCACAAGATACACACAGACAGTCACAGAGGGTTTGTTGGTGCGCTCACCGCATTTCCTTGTGTGTGTTGTTGGCTCTTCAGTGGGCGCAGATGGGTGAGCGTGTTCTCCCGATGGACACAGACAATGACGGTGACGGCCCGGCGCCGTCCGCCAGAGGTGAGCGGCGAATGGATGGACAGCACATGCAGTGTGACCACACCATTGACTGATGGACGTGGCGACCCGTTTGTGTGTCGTTCATTGCCTGACGGGAATGTGACACACAACACAGGTGGGAGTGGCGGTGGTAGCGGTGGTGACCTTCTGCAGAAGATCCGCGAGTTGCGCTCGGTGAGGTGGGGAGGGAGAAGGGGAGGGCTCCACACTGACATTGCTGCGCTGCTTCTGGCTTTCAGGATGCCTCTAAGTTTCTGTCTGGCGTTGATCTGGCCGAGCAGATGATAGCGACACACACCGACAACAAACAGGTCGTCACAGACACCGCACGGCCGAGCTGCTGCACTCACTGGTCAGCCCGTCTTTCTGCCTTTGTTGCAGGATGGTGAGATGGTGGACGGCCGCCTGTCGACCGTTCTGGAGACTCTCAGCGATACCCACTCGGCCCTCGGCAGGCAGCTGGCGCAGATCACCACTGACTGCAACACACATGTGAGAATGGATGGAATGACCAGTGACTGAGTGGCACACACAGGCCGGTCGCTCCCTTTATTGTGTGTGTCCGTCTCAGCGCATGGCTGCTGACAGCGAAGCTCATCAGTGGGGGGCGTGCGGTGCTGGGGGACCGAACGAGACCGACAGCAATGCACAGCAGGGCAGAGCGGTACGCACAAATCCACACCCACACCCACAGCAGCTCATGTATGTGGGTCATTTGCTGGTCAGGTGCCTGCTGAAGACGGCGGCGCCAAGAAGGGTAGACGCGTAGACCTCAGCCCTGCTGCTGCTACTGGTGGGCACAGCGGAGGTACGGAAAGCATCGGCTGCCGTTGGTGGATTGCATATCGTCATGACCCTCCTGTGCTGTGTGATGCCTTCAGGTGGCTCGATTGGTGCGGGTGGTGCTGCGGCAGGGGCACAGCAGCAACAGGGGGGCGGCAGCTCACTATCGGCAGCCCCCATGCAGCACACCCAGCAGCAGCAGCAGCACCCCCTGTGGTACGTCTGCGCCCACCGCGGCAGCGATTTTCCGCTGCGGGATGTGCTGCATCTGAGGAAGACCTGCAAATGGGCCAGAGGCCTCTTCGGAGCGCCTCAGCTGCAGCATCTGCTCACCCAATGGACAACAGACGATGAGCTCAGCACACAGGCGGGGCTGCGGCGGACGTGCAACGGACAGCAGCTGCTGACCTTCGACAACCAGCAGATGGGTGTGGGTGACCTGCTGGCGGCGCTGTGTGTGACGGAGGCGGGCGGCTGGAGTGAGATGAGCGAGGCGGTCGAGCTGGCGGGGCAGTGCGGCAACTGCCAGCTGCTTGTGAGGCTCACTGCCGCCGATCTGCACCAATACCCAAACAAGACGGTAAGCCAACCGAGGGAGGGAGGGAGGGAGGGACAATAGATGGCTCTCAATGGGTGTGTGGTGTGTTGATGTGCTGTGTGTGCAGGCGTATTTGGCCGCTCCCCGTGTGTTGGCTCAGCTCAAGATGGTCGGCCCCCACATCCACTTCGGCGACGGCGTGACCTTCCAGCTGTTCCACCACGGCGGCACACTGCGGGCCATCAAGGACGAGGACGGCTTCGAGATCGACATCGACCCGCCCCTTCATCCCAACCACCCCTACCAGCAGCACCGACAGCCGCATAACCCGCCCGTCCGCAGCAACATCGACTATTCTTTGTCCACGGGCTCGATGCCGGACTCTTGGGACTCGTCGTCCGTGTCGTCGATGGTCAAGAGCATCGTCCTCCGGCACTTCGACGAGACTCACCAGACCAACAGCAATGGCGGTCTCGCTGTCAGGTCAGGCGGGGCATCACGCTGTGTGGGCACTGCTACGACACACGAGTGTATCTGTGTTTCCTTATCGGTCAGCTGGCGTGTCAACAACGCCCGGCTGGGCACCCTGCTGACACAGTCCCCCCACAGACCAGTAGAGGGATGCACCACAACCACATCATACATGTACCTCATTGACGGCGTACCTTGTCGTCGTCTCGTGCTGACCGACGCGAGCCACCCCTTCATGGCGTGGATCTACATCAACACCGGTCAGCAAGGGGGAGGAGGGTGGCAAAGCCAGGGAGGCACATACTCTCATGTGCTGTGCTCTCCTGTCACTTGGCTGCAGTGTATGTTGAGGTCCAGACGACCGAGTCGGCTGTGTCTGGTATGGGTGGTGCCTTTAAGGACCGCTTCCCGGTGACTTATCAGCTAGCGCGTGCGGTGCTGGGGGCCGTCATCTCAGCTGTGGTCTTCGGCCAATAGACAGCTGAGGTATGTTTGTATCAAACACAACTGACACGAGCAGAAGATGCTCACACACATGAGGTATGCAATGGTGCCATTTTATTCGTGTGCGTGTCAGGCTGGGCGGTGATGGTGGTGGGAGGGGGACTGCCGGCCGCATAGATGGCCTCAATGGTGCGCGTGGGTTTTCCGATCGGTCGGTCTCTGTCTATCTGCCTGATGGACACGTCACTATACATATGCATACATTTATCAGTGACTGGCTGTCATGTCTGTCTGTCTGTTTTGCCTCTCTCTCTCCATCTGCCAGACTGACTGACTGCACCGATCGGCTGGGCGGTCGGTGGTTTTGTTGGTGTGTGCTGCACGTGGTGGCTGACGGCTGATACATGTGTCTCTCTGAATGTGTAGACAGACAGGGCGACCGATGGACCACACTCTGTGTGTGTCCATTCATCCATCCATGTGTGACCCATTGCTTGCTCCACACACACAGAGACACGGCGGTGTGTGTTTTGCACTCGTTGCCGAGCCATGCACACACCATCACACAGACAGACAGACAGACAGACATTCCCGCGCAGTCAGTCATTTTGCATGCTTGTGGGTCCGCGGCAGTGGATGCGTGTGGGTGGTGACTGGCTGGTCGGCAGTGGGATGCTGCAGGTGGGTCGCTCCCCTTCCGCCCCTTCCTTCCTGTATGTCGTCCTGCTGCGTGCCACAGAGGCGTTTGGTGAATGCTTTCATGTATGTCTTGCGTACGTATTTGCATGTCCCCAGTACGTACACACCTATGCATACACATACACATCTAGCTTCCCTCTTTCTTCGTGAGTGTGTTGCCTGTCGCGTCTGCATGAGTTTGTGATGCACACACTCATGGCTGGGCCGGGCCATGTCGATCGTGTGGCCGACGATGGCACGAGTAGCTGCGTCGGCACTGACGACTCGGCAGTGTATCGATTGGATGGTCGACACGCGTCTGATGATTGACACGTCTGATCGACATGCGTGTGTGTGTGGTTTGTCCCCCTTGGATGCTTCCATATGAAGCAGCAATAGCAGACAAAAGACACAATACCGACAAATCATTGCTGTCACGACCAGTGGTGCACATCATTCCATGTCTGTGATGACTTCAATGAATCAGACAGCACAAAAAGCACACACGACGCGTTCAGAGAGAGAAAGGGACACCAAGAACGCTACCGGCCGACTGATAAAGGCTGCCTACATATCTCTTCACGCACACATGAACAAGACACGAACAAGACAAAACACGTCACTCAACAGACTGTCACTCAGTCGGCTGTGCGAATGCATGCGGTGCATGGTGGTGGTGTGACTTGCATGTGGGATAGGATTCATATATGTGCCTGTGGTCCATCTCTGCTGCCTTGCCCCAGTGTGGCTGCCCCCTCCCCTCTCTCCTTTGGTACGGGTGTACATATGTGTATGTGTTCTGTACACACATATATATGTGTATACACGGACATACACACTTACTATCGTGTTGTGATGACTCAATCACTGACATATGTGCATGTCCAACCGTGTTCTCTGATAAGTGTGTTGGCTGCTTCCACCGCTGGGCCATGTCGATCGTACGGCCGAGGATGATCGACGGTTTAGTTGGCTTGTCGTTTCTTGCGAGCCCCTCTTTCTGTGTGTGTGTGGTTTGTGCCGTGAGTAAATGTGTGGTGACTTCCTGTGTGAATGCATCACCTCATGTGCATCGTGTTGATCAGTGTGAGTCGAGCCGCATGCCTGTGCACACCAAACCAGCCACTCACGCACTTTCCATTTCGTTGCTTATGTGTGGTTCAATCACTCATTCATCTGAGGAAAGCCGTGCAGTCAAGTGAGTCCGACAAAAACGACTAGAACATTCGCCCACCTTCCATCCATCCATCAATCCCCCCATCCCATGTGTCGAGACGTACGTCCAGTCAGACATGCACTATCCATCACATACATACCAGGGCCAGGCGACAGCCATCCATCCACGCATCAAACTCCTCCCGCCCCTGTCTGCCACCCAAATGTGTGCGCCTCCGCACCTCACGTCAGCTGCAGCGACCTGAATGTCTCCCTGCCGTCCCGCCCCTTCTCGACCGACCCCACCGACCCCCACACCACCGCAGGCACATCCTTCTTGAAGCCGTTGTCGATCTCCCCCGCCAGCCCGCACTTGGCCGCCTCGTCCAGGATGGCCCGCTGCACCACCTGACGCAACTCCATCCGCTGGCCACCCACACCGCCCATCACAAAGCACTGCAGCTGCGGCACCGTCATCTTGAGGCGCTTGTCGCCCTTCTGCTCATGCCTCGTCCCACCCACCACCCCTCGGTTGCTGCTGGCCTGGTGCAGTGCCGAGCGCACCAAGTGCTCCGCTGCCGCACACACACGGCGGGCCATGTCGCTGTTCCGCACACCGATGGCCTCACTGACGGCATCCTGGGCGGCGTCCATGTCGAAGAGGAACGACGCAATGCGCCAGCCGAAGATGGGGGCCTCCTGCGGGCCGACGGCCAGCCGGGGGGTCAGGAGGGCCGCGAGGGAGCGGTGTGGGGCGAGGGCGGCGTTGACGGCCGCCATGACGTCGTCCCGCAGCTTATTCAGCACCGTGGTGTACTCCGTCAGCACCAGCTGACGCTGACGGCGACGCTCCTCCGTGTCTGTGGGGATGAGATTGATGTCTGCCCCCACCCGCAGCAGGCTGCGGATGGTCAGCTCCACGTTGTCAATCTCGGCGCGATACCGCTCCTTGGTGTCCTCGAGCGTCTCCGGATGCTGAAGCCGTTGGGTGCAGCGATCGAGCTCCTCGGCAGCTATGGCCAGGGGCGTGTTGTCGTCCTGTCCGTCGATCTGGTCAGCGGGGAGCTTGCGGCAGAGGTAGTCGGCCACATAGGGAGAGCCATACGCTGCCGCGTAGTTCAGTGGCGTCCATCCAATGCCGTCAGCTGCCGTCATGTCGGCCCCGTTCGCCGCTATGAGGTCGAGGTAGCTGTCGATGAAGGGCTGGGGATAATACCCTTTCGCCCGCTCGGCTGCCTCGTGCACCAGGTTGAAGCCGTTGGCCCGTTCGGTGGCGAGGGTGGGGTCTCGTTCGATTAGTCGCTCATACATCGACAGCAGCAGCTGCAGATACTCCGGGGGAGGCTGACGCAGGGGACGGGGCAGCTCCATCACCATGTGTGCGCCTGCTGCGCGCAGGTCGATGTCCTGTCGAGCCATGAGCAGGTCGAATGCCATTCGGTTGCCCAGTGCGATCGCCACCCACAAGGGCTTGCTGCCAGTGGCGGCGTCATCGTCTGCTGCGTTGATGTCGGCGCCTCCGTCGAGCAGTGCGGTGAGGATCTCCGCCTGCAGCCCATCAGACGACCACGATGGCACTGCCAGGGCCACGAAACGGCAAGCATCGTCTCCTGCTTCGATTTCCGCCGGGACGGTGTAGTCCGACTTGTTGTCGATGGCGATGGCGAGGAGCGGGTAGCGGAACCCACGATGCTTGCTGCCCTCCCTCCTTAGTCGAGGCTTGATATTGGAGTTGGCTCCCTGTTCGATGAGATCGGTCACGTGCTGTGCGCTGGGGATGGTGCGGCCGATGACGCCCAATGCCAGCGACTTGGCAACGTCGCTGGTGCCGTAAGGGAATCGAGCTTCGATGTCATTGACGCCCAAACAGCCGTCTGGCACGTCGACTGTGGTGGTTGGCACCACCGCGTGACCTGGTGGGACACACACAGCCATCAGACGACGCACACCGAGAACGAATGCATGTATGGGCCCGCACCTTCCTCCCTCTCATGTGTCTGTCGGTCTGGCGTACCTTCCTCCTCATAGCCATCGTCATGACCGTCGCTGTCTGAGTCACTGTCGTCGTCCCCCTCACTGTCATCGATCTCGTCGTCTTCTTGGTCTTGGTCTTCGTCCAGCATCCCTCCGTCGTCACTGTCGTCCTGCATACCACCGCCCTGACACAGCGACACAGAGACAAGGGGAGGACAGCCAGGTGACGAGCGTCACACGGACGGACGGGGTGTTCGCGAATGAATGCCTCACCGATTCGCTCCCATCGGCCATCACACCGCCCTCCTCATTGTCCTCGCCTGAACACAATCAACCACAGGCACACACATCGACCCAAATCAATTGCTGCGGGTTCGGTGCTGACCGTCAGGCTCGTCGCCGCTCTGGAGTTGCTGCACGGCGTCGACGTCCATCGGGGGCTCCGCGGCGTCCTGCTGCTGCTGCTCAGCTGCTGCTTGTCGTGCGGCCATGGGTGGGGCTCGGTGGTGAACAGAGAGAGGGTCTTGCTGCCGCCTCTTGACGACCTGACAGTGACACGCGCACAATGAGAAATGAAAGCCCTTCCTTCATTGACGACGCCCTTGCTCCTTCCCGCCTGCCCACGTACCATCTCGTGTCCTGTCCTCTTCGGACGGGCCCTCACCACACAGATTAAACTGCTCAGATCTGCCGCCCTGGACCTACAAATCACGATGAGACGGAAACTGGGGCGTGGTGAAGAGGTCGCCTGGTCGCTCCACTGCCACTGATCTGCCAAAAAGGTCAGGCGTTTCTTAAGCTCAGCTCGCCCTGCAGGGTGTAGGGTTCAAACCCTAAGTCAGTGAAGCACTCGTTGATGCAGCCGCCTCCTTTGATTCATCGGCTGCCTTCCCATCGCTCGTTTCTCTTCGATAAGGTCCAGCAGCAGCAGCAGCAGAGTGTGCTCCTGCTGCCTCGGATCACCGTGTTGCCTAGCGGGGAATTCGTCCCGGTACTTGCCTCACCCCGGTCTGCCAATTGGCTCCTTGTCAGCCCACTCACGGCCCACTGCACGAGATCTGTCAGCTGTCCCCTCTCTGTCTTGCTCCATCTTCTCGTGCGCTCCGCCGGCACACAGGCGGCTGCTGGCGGCACAGGCAGGTGCGTAATTCAGGCGGACGTCATGTCATGCACACGGCGGGCGCGTGACACGCCGAAATGATGCATGTGCTGTCTTGACGGTTGGTGCCTGGATCTGTGTGCGGTGTGCTGCAGACGTACGTCGTGTGGTGTGTGAGGTGCAGCGGTGTGACAAAGGAGTGAGGGCACTCCAACAACTGGTACGCAGAAACAGACAGATGGGCACACAGACACAGCGGGACTCACACGCACAGTATGTCTCCTCTCTCTGTGTGGCTGTCTGTGTATCCTCAGTGTGTGCAGGTGTGACTGTCTGAGTGGCTCTCTGATGGCTTCGACGCGCTGATGGCGATGATATCTGCTGAAGGGAGAGAGATCGGCCGATGAGCCGACGGACGTGCTGACTGAACTGAACTGAAACCCTCACTCTGTCGCCTTTTGGTCGTATGTGCGTCGATCTCACTGTGTTGTGTTGTGGGGCTTTGCGTGTCGGTCGGTCTGCCTGCCACTGTCATACGTCCTCCGACTCCGACTTGTCAGTCGTCTGCTGCCATGAGTGTGTCGGCTGATGAGTTGGGGGGCGGGGGAGAGATGACAGACAGACAGACAGGCGGACAGACAGACAGACAGACAGAGAGGGAGGAGTGGCTGGCTGGCTGCACAAAGGAATCGCTGTGTGAGGTGGCGGTGGCCGTCTGTCTGTGAAATGGGCGCGCGCGACGCTTGCTCGCGAGAGTGTGTTGATCTCTCGTCGGTGCATCCGTCACACACGGCCGGCTCTCAGACAGACAGACAGCCCGACACACACACACACTGATCTGCCTGATGCCTGAGAGAGAGAGAGAGAGAGAGAGAGTGTTCGCATGTGTGTCCTCCCCCCCACTGTGGGCATCTCACACACGAGCTGGCAACTCGAGAGCGTCAGCCCATGAAGGGTGTTGGTGCTTTAGGGTTGCCGGGCGGCGACAGAGATGCGCACAGAGGGGCGGGGGAGAGAATGAATGGACACAGAGAGAGAGAGAGATCTGTTTATCTGTCTGTGTGTCACGTGTGGCTGTTTGACAAAGCTGCGTTTTGTCCGTTGAGGACAGACCGACATAACTGTGGATGGATCTCATGACGTGTTTCTGTGGGTGCGTGGCGCATTGGCGAATGGCAGGGCGGCTGGGTGGCTGCTGACGCAAAGTGAGAGAGAGACGTCGGTCTGGTTTCTTCGTTGTTTGCCCGCGTGTGTTGGTGTTGGCGGCGTCACCTCGCGCGCAGATAATTTCCTGCCTGACTATCTGTTTATGTATGTCGATATGAAGGCAATGCAAAGATCCGTTTTGTATGTAAGGGCCCACCTCACACACACAGACACATAGACACACACACACACAGAGAGAGAGAGAGATCTGTTCATCTGTTTATCTGTTTGCATCCCTACCTGCCCGTCCTGCCTGTTGGTGTGCCAGCCATGATGTCTGTCTGTCTGTCTGACTGACTGAATGGTGGCGATGATGTGTGCTGAAGGGAGACAGATCGGCCGATGCGCCGACCCCTGCTGCCCAATAAGTACTGACTGCCTGGCCTTAGCTGACATCTCTCTCTCCCTCGTGTGTGGGTGTCGGTCGTCGACTGACGGACGACAGACAGCAGGACAACATGAGAGCTCATTGTGCGGCGGTGTGCGGCGGTCTGATGATGGACTTTGGTGTCTGCGAGCAATGGTACAGCGACAGACACACAGAGAGGGAGGGACACACAGACGGACAGAGAGGGGCGGCCGATGACGTCTGTGTGTGTGTGGGTCTGTGTGTGTGTGTCAGGTGTGGTTGGTGTGCTGATTCACTCGCTGGAACAAAGCCACACGACGGCCGAGCGGCTGCCGCTGTGAGATCGGCCGATGAGTCGACGAGCTGATGTGAGTGAACTGACTGTCTCTCTCTCTGCCGCGTGGACGGCATCGATGGACTGACGGCTGTCGTGTTTATGAGAGTGTATTGTATTGTGGGGCTTTGGGTGTCGGTCGGTCTGGCTGCCATTGTCATCTCATCCTCGCCCACCACTTCTCAGCCGTCTGCTGCCATGAGTGTGTCGGCTGATGAGTGGGGGGCGGGGGAGATATGACAGACAGACAGAGAGGGAGGACTGGCTGGCTGGCTGCACAAAGGAATCGCTGTGTGAGGTGGCGGTGGCCGTCTGGCTGTGCGTCAGCCTTGTGGGATGGCTGCTCGCGAGAGTGTGTCGATCTCTCGTCGGTGCATCCGTCACACACGGCCGGCTCACAGACAGACAGCCCGACACACACACACACACTGATCTGCCTGAGAGAGAGAGAGAGAGAGAGAGAGAGAGTTGGTTTCCCTCGTGTGTGTCCTCCCCTCTCCCTCTCTGTGGGCATCTCTCATCTCGACCGGCAACTGGAGAGCGTCAGCCCACGAAGGGCTTTGGTGCTTTAGGGTTGCCGGGCGGTGACAGAGATGCCCACAGAGGGGCGGCCGAGGGAATGAATGGACACACATACGACTGCTTACCCATCCCACCAAATGAGACAGTGGATGGGTCCCTTTGCCGACCGTCCTGATGTCATACTTGCACACCCACACACAGATGTGTTGTGTGTCTGTCTGTCTGTCTGTGTGTGTGTGCGTCTGGGTGGGCCTGACGCACCGACGAATGGCGGCAGTGTGACAGAGAGATGGGACGGCCGCATAAGGAAGAGAGGGGCCTCCTTGGTTCTTCTTCCGCCGTCACCTGAGGCAGACGTCAGTGAATTCTCGTCTGACTTTCTCTTTATGTCGATATTTACACAAGGGTGTGTTTTGTATGTGAGGGCCCACCACAGACAGACACCGACGTGTGGGTGTTCTCTTCTGTGCCTCTCTGTCACTGTGCTGTCACTTCCCTCGTGACGACGGCCATGTGTGTGTTTTTTGCCGTCGTGTGAGTGGCACACCCACACGGCCGGGTGAGAGAAAGAGACGCTTGTTTGGTGCTGCTGTAGTGTGATATGTCGGTGTGTCGGTGTGCTGGCTGTGGTGCCCTCGAAGCGCACCTCACACAGTGAGTGTTGCTCATCACTCTCTGTGTGGTGGCCATCGAGCGGCTGACAGACACACACACACGCACACACAAAGGAGTGGCCAGGCCACTCGTCGGTGTGCAGACTATGCCATTGCCGGCCGAGTCATTATGACAGTCAATGCGCTCCTGACAGACTGACGCCCACAATTTGGCCCATCGATTCATCCGGCCGTCCAGCAGCGCCATACCTAAGGCGGCCCCACTGCACTGCATCGGTCTCACATCAGTGCCGATCGCCGACTGAGAAATGGCCAATGACAGACAGAGGAAGGATGTCATGTGGGTCAGCGTGTGTGAGTGAGAGAATGACACAGAGAGAGACATCCACTGGTTGTCTGTCTGTGCGCTCTGCTTGTCTGCCTGTCTCGGCCGTCTTGTGGTTTGTTTGGGTTCGTTTTGGTGTGTTTGTGTCGACTGTTTCTGTCTGTCTTTCTTATTGTCTGTGTGGCCATGGGGTTCGTTTCGGTCTGTCTGTCTGTGTGGCATACCGACGGACAGGGAGTCAGAGAGTGTGGCGGGGCCATTAGCCTGACATACACAGAGAGACAGATCAACACGACAGCTGCAGCAGGTGCATTGAGTCGATGATATCAGTGAGTCAGTCTCTTTGGGTCTCAGAAGCGATGGAATGAATATATATAATAAGCTGATCACACAGACAGCTGGTGCGGCATATATACACACACACACATATCCACAGAGCCCTCCTGTACATGGGAATGTCTGTGCAGCGTGGGATGGGATGGGGAGAAGAGAGCAATCAACATAAGACAGACACCTCACACACATAGACACATCTCACCCTCCCGCCCTCTCATTCACTGTCCACCCGCCTCAGTCCGCACAAACAAACAAAAAGAACGAGACGACAGCCAGGCAGGGAGGCAGGGAGGCACCATCAACCCCACACGCACGCACGGATAATCAGACAGACAGGCAGGCAGGCAGGCAGACAGGCAAGTGCACACCAGCCAGTGACATGTGTGTGGGATAAAACGGGTACATATACAGCCAGTCGATACTCTGTGTCTGTGTCTGTGTGTGGTATGTGTCTGTGTGTTTGTATGTGGGTCTCTGCGCGTCCATCCATCCATCCAGCCAGCCAGCCGCTCGCTATCCTTCCCCTCCTCCTCTGGGCTACTTAGTCAGTTCGTAGCGAGTTGCGTTAGCCATTGGGATACACACTGACTGGGTCACTCCATGCCCTCTGGCTGCCCCTCCCCGCCCCCACCGCCGCCCTCCTGCCCCTCAACGGCACCAGCCGCCTCACCTGCAGCAGCACCGGCCACCTCGATCTCCACCTCCTTGGCCTCGACGTGCCCCTTCCTCCCCTGCTTGCCCTTCTTCTTGGGTCGCGACAGCCCCTCCTCGCCCTGTGTGTCGTCCTTCTGGTCGTGCTTGCGCTTGCGCACCGTTTTGTGGACGGGGGGCACCACGGGGAGCTCCTGCTGCGGCATGTGCACCTGGGGCTGCAGCCCCTGCATCTGCATCTCCGGCACCCCCTCCACGTTCTGCACTATCACATGCTGCTCCTGCCCCGGCAGCTGCTGCATCTGCTGTACCATATGGACGTGGGCGCCCGGGGGCAGCATCAGGCCCTCGGGGTGGTGGTGGGCCAGCGGAATGCCCTTGTGGACGGGACCCAGCAGCTCCACACCCTCGGCCAGCGGCACCCCCTGCGGCACCATCATCGGGACCCCCTGCAGGGCCTCGTGTAGGGCAGCATGCTCGTGGTGCGATGCGTCCAGACCCTCGGCGCCCTCGGGGGGCACGCCCAAGGCGGGCGCGGCATACTGCAGGTAGGCGGCGCTGGGCTGATCGGCAGACTCGGGAACGGCCAACTTCTTGCCCCTACCTGATGGAACAAGAAGCAGGGCCAGGGGAGAGAGAGGGGGTGTCTGTGGTGGGTGGGTGGATGGGGAGGGGAATGGGATTGATGCTTACGTTGAGTCTTGCGTTTGGGTTTGGCGCCGGGGAGGGACGCCCCGAGCTGCTGGGCTGATGCGTCGCCGCCATTCAGCTTGGACAACTTGTTCCTGCTTACGTGTGTTACACCCACCAGCCGCACACACACATACACACACGGCATGCAGGTCTTGGTGGCGTGTGCGCGCACCACACATGCTTGAGCTCCGATACGTTGCGATTGTCCCTCATCGTCTGCAGGAAGGATATATGGACACGCAGACGCACGCAGACGTCAGCCTGCCAGTGTGTGTGTGTGTGTGTGTGTGTGAGAAGGGGGGGACTGACACACCTCGATATTAGCCGGCAGGGTGTAGCTACTCTCCGTCAACGCGTTATACATGCCGTCGGCGGCCTCACCTAGACACAACACACAACACACAGAGATGCTGGCATGGTTGTCTGTTGGCTGGCTGGCTGGCTGGCTGGCTGGCTGACCGATGGAGTCGTGCGCCATGACCATGAGTTTGGCCAGCGCCCGCTTAATCTCCATCTTATCGAACAGGTGCACGTGCTTGGCAATGTCATCGCCACGGCAACGCTCTATCTTGACCTGGACCTTCATGTCCTGCACACCACACCACACCACACCACACACGTCAAGCTGGAGGGGGTGTGTGTGGGAGGAGAGGGTACCCGTGCGGCCGTGGATGTGAGGCATGGTATCTGCGCCTTCCAGATGGGTGGGCGACGGCTCTCCACCGACGGCACCTCACGCGACACGAAGTCCATCCACTCGACAGCGTACTCGTCCTGACATCATGTCACCACACCACACCACACCACACCACACCACAGCATGCCCATCGGTGCAGGCTTCTGTCTGCCTCGCTGTCTCGTCAGTCACCTACTTGTCGGAATTTGGTGCAGATTTTGGAGAGGAAGTCCTTCAGAGCGTCCCTCGGTATGAGGCCCTCCCCGGCCAGCTCCTCGTCGGACTCGGTCAGCGGCAGGACCACGTCGTTCAACACCTCGTAGCAACGCATCTGACACACATGCATGCAGCAACAACGAACAACCAACACAGAGGGAGCGGAGCATCGAAAGGGACATACAGACCTCCCCCCTTTCGCCTGCTCTGTGTGTGGCTGACCTCGAAGGTGGCGCCTTGGGCCTTGGACTGTCTGTCGGTGTCCTTGCTGTAGACCACCATCTCGCCACCCTCACGTCCACCCACGTGCAGCACCTCTATCTCATCCGCATGGAAATACGGCGACCCGCCCAGCACTGCATGGCCAATTTCATCCCTCTCCCCCGTGTAGCCCGCAGGCACAAGATGGCCCAGGGTGAGCTGGCTGAAGGCAGCTGCGGATGTCGGCAGCCGGCGCGTCACCGCCAACTTCGCGACCCAACCGCAGCCACCCACCTATCTCCACACTCGCAGCATTCACTTGCCCCTCCCTCCCCGCCACCGACACACACTGGTTCTTGTCGTCGATGTCGATCTTGGTGGGCTCGGGGAAGTGGCCGGCCAGCGAGAAATCCCACACGTCACAGCCGTACCAGTGGCCACTGGTCGGCTCGTCGGGCGGCTGGATGCCGGCACTGATGAAGGAGCCGAAGACGTACTGGTCCTTGCGGATGAGGAACACGAGGCCGGTCTTGCCGCCCACACACCGCAGCACATCGCTGTAGGTCGTGCCGTCACGCGATGACCTGACGCACACACAGACAATGCTCTCTCTCTCTCTCTCTGTGTGTGTGTGTGTGTGTGCTGCATCTATACCGGTAGATGGACTGCAGCTTCATGGTGTGGTCGCCCAGCAGTCCCAGCAGGTCGTAGTACTCCTGCCGTGTCAGCGATGTGCCCTCCGGGAGATCAACCTGCCCAACAACACAGTGGCACACACACACACATGCGACCATGGCTGCCGAAGTCATGTTGTTTGTCGGATTGTTCTCACCGTCTGCATGTGAATCGCCAGCAGCGACGCCATGGCCTCTCGCAGGCCGTGGTTGGGATGGACGTCGACTCCGCAGTCGCGCCCTGATCAACACGACTCACTGCAGCCCTCACCTGGCCACAGATGAGACCCACACACTGGCCACACACACACAGAGAGATGCACACAGACAAAGAAGGTCAGCGCATTGAGGTGACTGAATGGGTGGGTCAGTGAGTGTGTGTGTGGCCTCCCTCTGACCTCTGCTATCTGTCAGCTCAGCGGCCCGCCCTTCCACCACACCAGTCCACAGGGCGGCGGTGGGACGGATGATTCCACTGATCCGCTAAGCCGTTCTCTCAGCCGAATGCGCCACGCTCTACAACGCACAGCTGTGAGAAAGGCACACAAGAGGCCGCCAAACACTCGGGGTCTGAAACCCTACCCTTGACCCCTTAAACCCTTTGGCCCGAAGCGCCCGCCGCAGCAAAAGGCTTCGACGAGAGCATAGCCCCTTCGCGCTTCTGCCCCTCCTGTCGTGAATAGCACGGCAAGCATGGCCGTCTGATCATAGCTTTTGGACAGGAGAAAGATTGAGGAGCTGTGACTCTGCTGGTGCGGCGCATCTCCGTCGTGTGTCCTCTGCCCTCGTCGAGGGTGCTGCCGTCGCCTCCTCGGTGTCTGCTGTCGTCCCTTCTGCTGCGGTGAGCGGTGTTATGGAGCCGTCTGTGAGTGTGCGGTTCGCTGGCGATGGGGAGGGCGATACGCCGCTCGTCGTCAAGGAAGGCGTCATACGGCAATACAAATACTTCACTTCGGTCCGGCACACCACACACGGCAGAGATGACAGACACGCGACATGCACGTCGTGTCGTCTGTGTGTGTGGGTGCAGGTGATGGACGGCGAGTTTCAGGAGGGTCAGGAGCGTCAGGTGCGCATCGAGAAGATCAGCCGGTCCATCGGTGAGGTGGTGCTGCAGCAGGAGGTGGACATCGTCAGCTCGCTGACCAAGGACAATCTGCTGGATGCCATGATCGCTCTCGACTACCTCCAATTCGACACCGACCAGATCTTCACGACGGGCAGCAGCCAGAGCCTCCTGTGGCGCATCCATCGCAAGGTAAACAATGGGCACGAGAGCTCCTTCGCGGATCCACTGTTGGTGCATCTTGTCTGCCTGTATCAGGTTGTGTTGGACGGCTGGCTTGACGACCACCAGGTAGCCATGTGTCTGCTCGACAGCTTCGCCCAGTACCCCTTCATCGCCCGATTCATCCACTGCCATCCCGACATCTGCGCGGCGCTGCGTCAGTCTCTCCGCAAGAGGCCCGACGTCATCCGTGAGCAGTGGCGGCGACGCGAGAGGGGCGAGGCCGAGGATGACTCCGTCAAGGCAGCGGTGAGTCTGGTGGCTAGCCTAGGAGACGCCATGTCGTATGATGCAATGGACATGTCGCATCAAGAGCTGGCCCAGTTCATCACGGATGCGACGGGCTCATCGTCACTGCCGGCCGCACATGGTGAGGGACAAGAGGACAAGCAAGGAGAAAAACCCACCACCTGTCTGTGGTCGGTGTCTTTTCTGCAGCGGCTGTTTTCGAGTCCGACGAATTCTCATCTGCTTCTACGGCGGCGGTGCGGCCCTTTGCCGATGAGCAACAGGGAGCCATCACATGTGTCGGCTTCGCTGTCGATGTGGCGGGTCTTCCCCCTCCCTACACCCCGCACTCATCCAGCAACCTGCCGGCCGACGCCATCCGCGACGGCGATGCGAAGCTGACAGAGGTGGCGGGCTGGTACGGCAGGTTGCATATCCGTCCAGTCGTTGGAATGCGAGCGGAGGGCGAGTCGTTTGTGAAGTGCTATTCGCCTGGCGGCTCTCTGGAGGTGGCTGGTGCTCACGGCGATTCCGATGCCACTCGCCCCGCGATTCGACTGCATGAGAGCCCGGCCCTGATGGGCGCCCAGATTCAAATGGGCGGGGGGCCATCGGCTGGCGCCTCTGTCAGTCCATTTGGCGTGAAGCTACTGGGAGAGTCAACCTCCCTGTATGGCAACGTCCGCATGCTTGCTGCCGATGCGCTGGCGCAGCAGGGGCTGGGGGATACTCGTCTGAAAGATGTCGTGCTGCTCATGACACTCCGCCAGTTCCCAATGCGTGAACTGGCCTTGCACTTCTTGCGGATGTGCGTCATTGAGGGCTGCTATGAGGAGATCTCCAAAATGGCCAAGTAAGGGAAAACACGACACATCCAGCACTCAATGACTCACGTGTGAATGAGCAGATGTACTCACACCCGATAAGTCGTGAATTCTGTGTGCGCCTGGGTGGTGGTATCGTCTTCGTATGTGCAGGTCGATTCGTCGTGAGCTTGCCGAGTACCTGCTCACCAACATGGCTTTGGCGAAGCGCCATCGCCTTCCGCTCATGCTCTTTTGGGCGGCGGGCATCGAGGGGCTTTCTTGCATCAGGAGCAACAAGGTCGTGTCGACGCTGCAGTCTGGCTTCGACGTCAGCGATGTGCCGGCCGTCCTTCCTGTGATCCCACTCCTCCCACCAGCCATCCAGACGGCCTTCAAGAATGCCCTCAGGGAGGCCCTCGACGATCAGGACGAAGACGCCTTTGACTACCTCTACAAGCAACTCATCGACAGAGAGACCACACGCAAAAAGGTCAGTCGCACTACCCTCCCCCAGCCAACTCCGCTTATCCTTCCGTTCCATATGCCTGCCTTCCTGACGGCCCCTCTGTCGTTCTGTGTCTATGTGGCTGTTGTGCGCGCAGGAGGCGGCCGAGCGGCAGTGTCTGGAGGCCGAGATTCAGCGGCTCCGAGAGGAAAACGCCACGGTCAAGGAACAGGTCAGTTGGATGTTTGTTCACACAGCACACATCAGTCGTTCATTCCCTGGCTGTCTTTCGTTCGTTTGAGGGTTTAGGAGCGTCGCGGGACGAAGCGGCCGCGAGATGAGATGGAGGGCCAGCAGCAGCAGCGCCAGCAGCAAGAGGGGGAAGCTGACCAGGAGATGAAGTCATAGACGGGCACACACATCCATCCATCCATCCATCGACATATACCAGCGGCTCATGTGTTCGTATGGTGCGTGTCGTGATCGATGATGAGTGTCTGTCTGTTTGTATCGTCTTGCTTGCGTGTCTGGCTGACTGATTGCGTGGATCGGACGGGACGGCTCGCTTGGTCGGTGTTTATATCCATGTGTGCTATGCTGCCTGGCGGATGCCGTCATGCCTTTTTGAGGGTATGAAGAAAACGTGACCGACTCAGCCAGGCAGTCAGCAAAGGTCTGTATGGTCAGCTCGCTGGTATGATTCCCTTCTCTATATCTGGTGGCCCTGATTGTGGTGTCCCCGCCTGTCAGGTATGCCCAAACGATACGTTTTGGTGTCATGTGCGGCCCTTTCGCCTTTTGTGTCACTGACTGCAGACCACTCTTTCTCTCTCTCTGTCAATACGTACGATGAATCTCAGCTCTCTTGCCTGTCTGCTGGTCGTCCGGATGCCTCTGTACATACATACCCCTACGTGGACGCTTGGTTCCGTGCGTGTTGGCCTGTTTCGCGTGTCTCTGCGATTTTCTGGTGCGGTGGATCCATCTATGTGTGGACATGTGCTCGCGCTCGTGGATGATGCGCGGATGTGACTGCAATGCAATGAACCCAGTCGATGGCTACTACAACTTCACTTTTAAACAGTGTCACACTCATACACAGCACATGAAGCTGTCAGTCACAGTGCGGTCCGTCCAATCTGTCTGTCTCTGAAGATGCAATGTGGCCTGAGCTGATCGCGTGGCCTGAGCTGATCGCTGGTGCGTAAAGGGCACTCAGCTGACTTCTGTCTGTCTGCCTGACTTGTGTCAGCCAGATCGTATGCTGATTGCAATGCAATGCCACGCCATGCCAGCATCAGGCAGCCCCCGTCCGTCATCGACACACACGGACGGACACACATCGCATCCATACAGCTATGCTATGCAGCAGATGAACGCGTCAGCTAGGAATGGCCCCACTGCGGCCCGTCTGCTCTGAATGAATGATCCACCACACACAATAGGCGGCCTGACAGACACCACCACCACCAACACCCACACACACGCACCTCTGATCATAGAAGTCTTCGTGTGGATGAGTGCCATTCCCTCACCGTCAGCCGTTGCGCGCTGCACCAAGTAGCAGACGTGTGTCCCAACCGCTTATGCGTCTGATGCTGAAGCCGTCGATCTTGGCGCCGTCAAGAAGGAAGGCGTCGATAGAACCACGCTGCTCAGGCGTCGTCTTGTCGACCAGCAGCTTGACAGACTGGAGTCCCCTGAGGTGCATGGTATGATCGGTCAGCGATGAAAGGCGGGCGCGGACGACGCTGCCGGCATCCTCCACATCATCAGGTACTGAAGGTGAACACACACAGAAGGCAGAAATGAGGATGGATGGACACAATGCCCTCTTCTCTCATCGTACGCGTCATGGTGAATTCTAGTTCTCTGATGGTCGGCAGCTCGTCGGCCGCCCCCAGCAATGGGTCTAGTTGGTCGACACCGATCTCCCCCATCGGCACCACATCCACCTCCCTCCCCCTCCCCAGTGCCGCCAACACGCCCACATTCTCCTCACCACCCGACATCCATCTGAGTCTCACCCCTTGCACCTTCTTCGGCACCTTGGCGGCCAGCAGCCGCCCGGCAGCACCACCCATTTCGCTCCAGACACACAGCTGTGAGGTCTTCGGGAACGGCTGGAGGTGTGTGATAATGGCGGGGTGGGGCGATGGGGTGTTGGCCGGGGGGTAGAACCCAAAAGCATTCTGGACCGACACCGTCTCGGCCTTGTCGAATGAGAGGCTGGATGCGATGTCAATGGCCGCTGGTCTGGGGTCGGTGTGCGGGTCGGTGAGGCCGTCCTGACTGAAGACGTACATCACCGATGTGGCCTGCCGGGCCAGCTGCTGAATCACGGTCTTGAATGGGGGTGAGGGGCGGGAGGGGAAATCCGTGGCGTAGAAGATGGAGAGATCAAGTTGGAGAAGGCCGGTTGTGGTGACAGCGAGTTGAGCGTCCGATCGGCAGCAGGCGACGACCAGCCGCTCCACGGCGAGCAGGACGGGCAACGTGTAGCGGCTGATGGCGTAGCGGGCAGAAAAGCGGACGTGCAGCTGCTTGAGAGAACGCCGGCAGCCCCGCGTCAGCAGCGCCTCCTGAAGGAAAGAACACACAGATGCAGGAAGGACATCTTGAACCACCCACACGCGCTGCTGTAAATGTGCGTTGTGGTCACCTGAAGCCGGTCGATGCCCGCCGGATTGTCAAGTTCGACCAAGATGGTGCCGATGCTCTCGAAGTTGCGAAGTGGCCCTCCCTGCCGCCCGGCGGGTGCCTCAGGGATCACCTCAAACACACGCGCCCACTCGTCACCCCAATACGCCCCGTCGATGTGCTGCAGGGAGCGGGACGAGCTGATGAGTCGGCGCAGTCTGTCAGCCCACCACCCCTCCGGCCGCACGATGGCGAGTGAGGGCATCTGCCAGCCCCGGTAGGCCAGCCCATGATGGTGGTGGGTCAGGCCGGCAATGGTGGTGAGCGCGTGGAGGGTGGGGGGCGCGTCGAGAGGCGCGGGGAGGGCTGGGTGAGTCCTCGTGACGGTTCGCCTCGCCGCGTCGGTCAGCCGAACCCCTTCTTCGATGGTGATGGTCTGCAGGGTCCCGCCATCCATGTTGGCTGCCACCCGACCGGCAACGTGGCCCTCCACCAGGGCCACGAACACGTGAAGACACCACATGGGGAAGCCCAGGGGGTAGCAGAGGACGACACACGCCAGCTTCGTCAGGTATGTCGCCCATTCGGTGACCAAATCGATGGTGGTCCTCTGCCAAAAGAACCGCTCGTCTTCGGCTGCGGCGCTCATGGTGAGGTGGTGCTGCTTGCGGGCGGCGTGCTGCCACGTCAGGGGCGGCAACTGCAGCTGCATGAGCAGATGGATGGGTAGGAAGGCCATGACGGTGCTGAGGAGACCGGGCTGTACACAGCCACGCAGCACACGGGACGGCAAGAGATATTCGTCAGGGTGTGCATGCCCTCATTGCGTCGGGGCCACACTCACCGTGTCAGCGATTTGTTGCCGAAGGTCGCTCTCCGTCTCCTGACGTCGCTGCCGCTCCTCATCACTCTCACCACTACCACCACCAGCAGATGCAGACGCAGTCGAAGCCGCAGCAGCCGGCGCGTCACCACAACAAGACCACCTGACCTGCACCCATACAGCAAACACACCAACACAGCCGACATCCGTCTGGTGAAATGCGCCATCCATTGCCAGCGGTGCTGTGGTCGCCTCACCTGTCTATCTCCCTCCTCCATGGCCAGCTGTAGATCTGATTCTGTAGAACTCCAATGCCTCCTCTGAGGCCGCTGATTAGCCACTGCTCACGGCTCTATGACGTCGCTCCCTGACACACGAACACACACAGCACATGAGGCCTACACCGATGGCGAATTCGCCTTCTCCCTGCCTTGAAGTACCTCAGAGTCAGGAAGGACGGGACGCGAGGATGCCTGTCATTCGACCCATCGATTTGAGGCGCAGCAGGCACAAAGGGGGGCCTCGGTCGCCCCTCAATGCTGCACACGGGCTGGTTCGCCTCTTGGTGCAAGTTTTATATCTGCGAGCTCGAAGGGGGTTCCTTCCCGAACACCTTGCCTCGTTTGGCATTTGTGTGTCGCCAGACTGCTCTGCGTTGGCAAAGGAACTCACCAATCGAAAAAATGACAAGATGACTCATGACGCACGGCACATGGGGGTGTGAGACACGATGCCCACAGGGGGAGGGCCCGTCACTAGGCTGTCCTGCACTGCCCGCATCATCAAAATGCCACACACCTTCAGGGGGGGGAGACGGGGGGCTGCGTTCAAACTTGAAACGCATCCTGGCCTTCCAAGAGTTCTTGATACATCAGCGCAATGACGACGCTCAAGGCTTTTGTAGCGTTTACCATATGCTTTCTGGTGACCTCGACCACCGCCGTGGCCATCGGTAAGCATGGGCTGCAGCCAGCCGTGACGTGCTTTGGGCTGCCTCTTGTGTTGTCTTTCCAGAGGAAGACTACGACAGCTGTGAGGATTCGAGCTGCGCCACGGATGGCGGATTTGAATCCATCTCGGCTGGCATGTCCAGCAACCACAAAGACTACAAAAACGGTGAGGAACGGTGAGGGGCTGCATGGCTGGATGCATCGATGTCCAAGGGCAGATCTATGCATCTCCCTGGTTGTATCCATCCATCCATACGTCCATTCATTCATTAAGGAGGTAGTTACTGTCCGCCCGCTGTGTGCAGGTGCGTCGTTTGTCGGCCGCACTCAGGAGGAGATCCAGACCATGACCGCCAATAAGCACGGTGCGCATGGACGTGAAAACACCCAGACTTATCCGTGGTACACTGTGTGTGTGTGTGTGGTGTGTGTGTGTGTGTGGTGTGTGTGTGTGTGTGCAGGTGTTGCATTGGGCGCTGGTGAGTTGTCGGTGTTGCAGCAGCAGATTCAGACCGGCAAGGCCATCCTGCAGTCGGCCACCAAACTCTACACGGCAGCCGACTCGCTCAAGGCCGCCGCCAACGACCTGAGGGCATCAGCAGTGGCGACCATCGATGACATAGCTGACCGCATGGGCGCCATCATGGGCATCGAGCCGGGCACCATGGGTACACAATGATGCAGATCCCCTGCATATAGCGGAGGCCTTGCATGCAGCGCATATGTGCGTGTATACTGTCCATTTTATTTGGCTTGTGTTGCTTTGTTTGTTGCCCGATGGATGGATGGATGGATGGATGTGTGTGTTGCGTTGTGTGCAGCCATGGACACCGACCAGCCCCATTTCCTGATCCTCCACAAGGTCCATCCTTGGTCCATCCTTCCATGCCACACACGACATGTTGTCTTGCCTTCCTGCTTTCAGGGTGGAAAGTCGTCGCAATCGGGAGGAAAGTCGGATAAAGAGTGGGAACACGAAGAGACGAAGCGGATAAAGCAGAAGACAAAGCAGGACCGTATAAACGCAGGTAGACAGGCAGATGACGTACGTCAAATTGACATGTTTCTCTGTCTGTCTGTCTGGGTCCATATCCCCCGTGGCTTCAGGCGAGTGTAAGGACGACGGCGAGTGCACGGAGGAGGGCAAGTTCTGCTACAAGCACGTGACAGACCAGAAGAAGCTCTACACGCAGCAAATCGGGAAGTGCAAGGCAAGCGATAGATAGAGGTCAAGAAACCCCCTCTCTCTGATTGGTTGACTGCACGGTTGCAGAGGGCTGGCGGCCTTTGGGACGATGGGTGCGGCAAGGAGCACCCCTGGTCGAAGGAGCACCCCTGCGGCACCGGCCTTAAGTGCCAGACAAAGACACACAGATTTTGGGCTGACATCGTCCCTATCGTAAACACGGTTCACGTCTGCCTCAAGCCTGAAAAAGAGAGTTATTAGCAAGCTCGCCAGTCGAATGGCCAAACACCACACCACACAATTAGCTGGCACACTGTTAGTATGGTCACACCGATGGGCGACACCTATATGTGTCTCCATGTGTGTCTCCGCTGCCTGTCTGGCTGCCTGTCTGTCTCTCTGTCTGTCTGTCTGTCTGTCTGTCTGATGGGTAGATGGATGGATGTGTTGGCAATCGATGGCTGATTTAATTGCCTTTGTTGGTTGACGCACACACACACACACACACACGCTCACATGCGGACGCCCGGTTTTCTTTTTCTTACATCCATCGGTCGGTCGGTGTACAGATTTCGGACGGTCATGATGGACACGCCAGCTGTGGTGAACCGACGGCATTCATTCGTCAATGAATTGCACAGACAGCCCAATGTGTATGTGCAGCCGTCCGGCCGACCTGTTGCTGACCGAGAGTCGCCGCGCAATCCCATTAACACCACGGGGTGATGCATGTTTGCACGGCCGTCTGTGCGGCCGTTTCATTCTCACAGGAGTTGACACATTGGTCTCAACGCGCAGCGCACATATAGAAGACCTCACGTCACGCACATCGATGAAGTCAGTAAGTGACTGACTGACCAAACAAAAAGCAGACAGCCGCTCCCGCCGCCTACGTATCATCGGCAGCCCCTGTCCGTCATCTGTAGAGCTGGCCAGTCGTTAACACTATGACATGGACACACCCACATACACACACACCTAAGCATGTCAGCTGACAAAACTGCCCCACTGCCCCTCCGCTATGATTCGTCGAGACAAGACAACCAGCCTGACAAACACCTCCACACACACAATATAAGACCCTCACCTTGAGGCATCGAGAGCTGCAGTCATTCCTACATATGAGTGAGTGGTTTGAGAAATAATTGCATCGGGTGGAGGTGAGTGTGTCTTGAGTGTCTTGTTTTTATGCACCCCTTGCCGATGTTTTGTATATACACGTATGTACACGTGGGCGCCTGATTCACGTAAGGCAACTTGTTTCAGTCGGTAGCCTTTCTCCTTGTCATGTGTGTCTGTTTCTCTCTGTGTGTGTCGGTGTGTGTGTGGGTGACGTCAAGCGCTCTAGAATTCTGATCTCTCTCTCTCTCTCTCTGTCTGTGTGTGTGTCTGTGTGTGATGTGTGTGAGTGGCTGGGCAACGAGTGTGAAACACACACCGCCGTGTCTGTGTCAATGTGTGTGCAGCAAGCAATGCGTCACACATGGATGGATGGACGGACACACAGAGAGTGTGGTGGACCGGTCGGCCTGTCTGCGGGCACATATATGTGTACACATTCAGAGAGGGAGGGAGAGAGACAGATATCAGCCGTCAGCCACCACGTGCAGCAAACACCAACAATAGCAGATGGCGAGAGAGAGGCAAAACAGACAGACAGAGAGACAGACAGACACGGCAGCCAGCCACTGATAAGTGCACACACGAATCGAGTGGCAGATAGACAGAGACTGACCAGTCGGAAAACCCACGCGCACCATTGAAGCCGTCTATGTGGCCGACAGTGCCGCTCACATCTCAACACCGCCGCCCAGGAATGCAACCGGACCAGGACGATTTGTGTGTTCATCTGTGTGCCTCTTCTCTCCCTCAGTGTGTACGTTTGTATGTGTGTAAGTACACATCTGGATGCCACGTTAAAGCGTGATTAAATATTGATTGATGCGGCATCATTGGGCATCTATGCCGCGTGCGTATCATTTACACGCCAGCATCAGGCAGCCCCCGTCCGTCAATCTGTAGAGCTAGCCACGTATGCACAGAGAGAGAGGGTTATGTCAATCATTCATACATACATCAAGTCGATGTAAAGAGAGGAAGTAGAATGCATGTACGTATATACATAGATGTGTCCTAAGGACAAAACATACACAGATGCCAGGGGGAGAGGAGACAGCTGACGTGAGGCAAGGCAGCAGAGATGGACCACAGGCACATGTGAATCCCACCCCACCCACCTCATGCAGCCACCCATCGCACCGCCACTGTGCAGCATGAGTAAGGAGAATTGGACTAAGTCGCTCAGTCCGCATTTGTATGTTCATAAAAGCGTCCAGCAAAAACGCCTCGGCGACAGAGTGCCATGCAGGAGCCGAACACGACATGAAGTCAGGACGACACACACACAGAAAAGAAGGGGACCCATCCGCCTGCCTCCCCACCAGCCACCAGCTATACGCATCAATCAGTCGCCGAGGACCAACAAGCAGGCTAAAATGACTGACTGCATGGAAACAGTCTGTCTGTGCGTCTGTCTGTGTGTGTGGAGCAAGCAACGCGTCACAGATGGATGGATGGATCGATGGATGGATGGACACATAGAGTGGGGTGCACATTCAGAGAGAGGGGGGGAGAGACAGATATCAGCCACCAGCCACCACGTGCAGCAAACACCAATCGATGCAGTCATTCATTCATTCATACGAGAGAGAGGCAAAACAGACGGACAGACCAACCGGCATGGCCGCCAGCCACTGATAAATGTATGCATGTGTCTATCAGGCAGATCGACAGAGACTGACCGGTCGGGAAACCCACACACTGTAGGCCATGTGTGCGCTATCTTAGACATCTATATCGACTCTGCCCAACCTGACAGACAAATGAAAAAACAGAGGGCACAGTCAGACAGCATTGGGTTTGTCGTATGTGTGGGCATCTTCTGCTCGTGTCAACCGTGTTTGGTGCATACCTCAGCTGTCTATCGCTCGAAAAGGATGGCTGAGATGACGGCCCCCAGCACCACCCGCGCCAGCCGAGTGGTCTGAGGGAAGCGGTCCTTGAAGGCATCGCCCACACCACACACAGCCGACTCGCTGGTCATGACCCACACCTGCACTGCAAACGAATGACAGGGGAGGACAGCAGCGGACAGCACATGTCCTCACAGCAAGCGAGAGTGAGTGTTGTATGTGATTCCATGGGTTTGTCACCCTCCTCCCCCTCGCTGTGCCGTGCTGGGCTGACCAGTGTGGGAATTGCCGTCGTGCATGACGGTGATCCACGCGACGAACGAGTGGCGGGCGTTGGTCAGGACGAGATTACGAGAACTCAAGCCGGCAGCGAAGCGAGCTGATGTCGTGGTGGTGCATCCCTCCACTGGTGTGTGGGGGCATTGCGTCAGCAGGTTGAGCAGCCGGTTGCTGTCGACATGCCTGATCAGCCAAGACACACACACATTCATCAGTCACTCGTGTGTCGTGGCAGTGCCCACACAGAGTGATGCTCCGCCTCACCTGTCGATAGCGCGGTCAGTGCTGCTGGCCTGGTGAGTCTTTTTGAAGTGGTTGATGACGATGCTCTTGACGAACGACGACACGGACGAGGAGTCCCATGGCAATGGCGCCAGCTGCACCCAGCCCTCGGTCAGCAGATAGTCGATGTTGCTGCGGACTGGGGGATCGTGCGGCTGTCGGTGCTGCTGGTAGGGGTGGTTGGCAGGGAGAGGCGGGTCGATGTCGATCTCGAAGCCGTCCTGGTCCTTGATGGCCCGCAGTGTGTTGTCGTGCTGGAACAGCTGGAAGGTCACGCCGTTGCCGAAGTCGATGTGGGGGCCGACCATCTTGAGCTGAGCCAACACACGGGGAGCGGCCAAATACGCCTGCACACACAACACATCAACACACCACACACCGATTGAGAGCCATCCATTCTCCCTCCCTCCCTCAATCGGTTGGCTTACCGTCTTGTTTGGGTATTGGTGCAGATCGGCCGCAGTGAGCCTCACAGGCAGCTGGCAGCGGCCGCACTGCCCCGCCAGCTCGACCGCCTCGCGCATCTCACTCCAGCCGCCCGCCTCCGTCACACACAGCGCCGCCAGGAGGCCGCCCACACCCATCTGCTGGTCGTCGAAGGTCAGCAGCTGCTGTCCGTCGGCCGCCCGCCGCAGCCCCGCCTGTGTGCTGAGCGAATGGCTGAGCCGCTGCCGCAGCTGAGGCGCTTTGAAGAGCTGTCTGAGCCAGCGGCGTGTGGCCCTCAGCTCCAGGATGTCATCGAGGCTGAGCAGGTAGAAGGTGCGGCGGCCGACGAAGATGTACTCGATGGGATGCTGCTGCTGCTGGTCGGGCTGCTGTTGCTGCATGCCTGTCGAGGCCGTCAGATCTGCAGACAGGCAGCTTGGCGAGAGAGAGGGGAGGGCGGGCGGGGGAGGCGATGCCCCAAGACGCGATGCCGGGCAACCGGGAAGCAGAAGACGATGCGGGAAGGTCGGTCGGTCGGTCGGTCGGTCGGTTAAAAAGGGAAGGAGGGGAGTGCCTTGCCAGCTTAGCTCGCACCTTCCCCCCGGCGAAACCGCTGCCCCCCGGCGAAGGTGTCATGCAGAGGGGAATGAGTTGAGCAGGATAGTCACCACCAAGATCTTCTTACAGCCAGCCTACGCAATCAGTCATGGAAGAGGAGTCTGCCGCACCAGCTCAGGAAGAGGAGGAAGGCAACGGCGAAGGCGAGGGCATGGAGACCGAGGAGCAGGAAGACCTCGCCGAGCAGCAAGGCGATGAAGAGCTGGCGGCTGCGGAGGATGAAGAAATGGGTGAAGGCGAAGAGGAAGAGCAGGAGTGGGACGAGGAGGAATGGGGCGAAGAGGGCGAGGGATGGGAGTGGCAAGTGGAGGGAGAGGGAGAGGAAGAGGAAGAGGTAGAGGAGGAGGAGGAGGAGGAAGAACAAGAGCCGGCGGCTGAAGAGGAGGCGCAACCCGAGGAGGCAGATGAAGATGAACCGATGAATCAGGGCGACGAACAGCAGCCAGACCAGCTACAAGGTGAGCGCGGCCAGCCTCTCGCTCGTCTCACTCACACATGCGCCTTCTCCTCTTTTGTCGTGTGTGGTGTTTGCAGCCGCCGCACACGAGCCGCCGGCTGAACAACCCGGAGATCAGCCCGCCGCTCATCGCATGGAGCCTGCCGGCCAGCCATCTCCCTCGCTATCCCCAACACCGTCACCATCGCCTTCACCATCACCCGAGGCCCCTCAAGCGCCACGCACTGAAGAGGATGCCGACGCCGACCAAGTCGACCAGGCCATGCACGAGCAGGACGAAAGCGGCCCAGCCCAGCCCGACCAGCAGCCACAGCCAGAAGAGGCCAAGGACGCCGAGGCGCCAGCAGCCGAGGCGCTAGCAGCCGAGGCTGGCGTGGAGGAGGAGGAAGAGGAGGACAAATTGGCCGAGCAACCGCCAGACCACGCGGCACCTGCGGCGGGTGAGATCGAGGCCCATGCCGTGCCTGACGAGGGAGCAGGACAGCCACAGCCAGAAGAGACCGAAGAGGTCGAGGAGGCCGCTGCCGATGCTGAGCAAGAGCAAGAGGGAGAGACTGAGAAGCAACAGGGAGAGGGAGAGGAGGAGAGGCCGGCAGAGTCGCCACCAGAGGCTGAGGGAGAGGCTGAGGCTGCCCCAGCGGGTGAGGCCGAGCCACCTGCTCAGATTGGCGAGGAGGCTGAGCAGCCAGAGGTCCAGGAGGTCGAGATGGAGGCCGCTGCAGAAGATGTCGAGGTCACGGCCACAGAGGAGGCCGCAGGGGAGGGGGTCGGCGAAGGGGAGGGAGAGGGGGAGGGAGAAGGAGAGGGAGATGGCCAGGCGTCGCAACAGGAGCCTATCGAGACCGAGGGAGCTCAGCCGACCGATGAGGAGGAGCCCTCTGTCCTTGCTCCCTCACCGGCCGCCGACCAAGACACAGCCGGCGAGAGAGGTCAGCCGACCGCCCAGGACGAGGCGACGACCGTCGCTCAAGAGCCCAGCGCACCCCCGCCCCCACCGCCCACCGACCAAGAAATGGCCGCAGCGGAGCCGCCAGCTGAGGAAGCCATCATGGCCCGAGTTCGAGAGCTCGAAGCGGCTCTGCAGTCGAGCAGGCAGGAGCTGACTCAGACATGCGAGACGTCCAGCAAGCAGGCAGAGGAGTACCAGCGTCAGATCGCCACGCTCTCGGCATCGGTGGCCGACCACGAGAAGCACACCGCGCAGCTGGACGATCAACTGCGGGTGGAGAAGGACAAGTCGGCTGCGGCGGTTCAGCAGTGTGATGCGCTCAGCAAGGACAAGACGGCCGCCGAGCAACGCGCCAGCGACCTCGCACGACAGCTAGAAGAGGCCAAGAAAGAGACGGAGAATCTTCGCGCGGCCATGGCGGCGTCGTCCACTGAGCTCTCTGACGAGCTTGGTGTCGAGAAGGAGAAGAACACCGCCGCGCAAGCGCAGATCGAGGGCCTGCAGAAGGAGAGGGACGGGCTGTCGCAGCAGCTGGCCGAAGTCCAAGAGGAGCTCCAGACGCGGATGGCCGAGGCGGAGCGGGGCTTCATGGCCATGAGTGAGGAGTCGACCAGGCTGGCAGACGAGCTGACCCGCCAGAAGGAAGCTACAGCCGCGGCGTCAGCCGACCACGACGCCCAGACAACCGCTCTCGCACAGGAGCTGCAAGCCGAGAGAGACAAGAGCGCCGCCGCCCTGCACCAGGTCGAGACGCTCGAGAAGGAGAGAACCGACCTGTTCGAGCAGCTTTCCACGGCTCTCGCTGACGGCAAGGCCACCGCCACCGAGCTGGCGACGATCCGCCACCAACATGAGAGACAAGAGAGGCACCTGCAGCGGCTGGAGGCCGAGAGCAGCCAGCGATCGTCTCTCGAGGCCCGGCTGGCAACAGAGGTGGAGTCACGAAGGCGGGCCATCGAGGCGCTCAGCGGGCTGCAGACAAAGCTCGACGAGCAGACGGCTGAGCTGAGCCGTTTGCGGAGGCTGGAGAGGGTGGTGGGTGAGCAGAAGCCGGCGCTTCTCAAGTCGCTTGAGGAGATGGACAAGATGCGCAAGACGGCCATCGAAGAGAGGAATGCGTGGCGACGACAATACGCCGACAGCCAGGCGGTGAGTCAATGAAGGAGGGAGGGAACCGATACACAGCCCGACTCGGTGGCCTCCTGCTCTGTGTGTGTTGTCGTTATCAGCGATGTGAGTCGTTGGAGTCGAAGCTGCGTTCAGTGGAGAAGGAGCTCGAGGAGGCCAAGGTCACGGCATCCAACGCGCCACAGCCACCCCCAGACCAGCAGGCGGCAGCAGCTGCAGCCGCCGCCGCCGCCGCCGCCCAGGCAGCAACACTCGAGGTGGACAAGGCGGTTGTGCGGGAGCAGCTGCTGGCCAAGGTCGACCAGGCCCTGGCTGAGAGGGAGTACGGCAAGATGGACGTGGTGGAGGTCTTCCAGGCCCTGTCGGTGCTCTGCGAAGGCGAGGGCAAACCTGCCGTAAACAATCTACTAGAACAGGGGGGCGACACGCGTGTTGGTTTGCCATTCTCTCTCCTCTCTGTGTGTGTATGTGTGTGAATGTGGTGTGGTCAGTCTGCTTTGGACACGCTGAATCTGCTCAAGGGCATGCACCAGTCCTACGAGCTGGTCGGTCAGGATCCCCCCCCACATACACAGAGAGACAGAGAGAGAGAGAGGGAGCGAGAGAGGGAGGGACGGTAGATACACACACCACACATCCCTCCATGTGTGTGCCACGGATGCCGTCAGATGCGCAAGTACTCCAAGCAAGCCGAGGAGGAGCAGGTGCGGCTGCTCGACCTCAACCGCCAGATGGAGCGTCTCGAGGCCGACCGACACGCACTCGCCGAGTGGAAGAAGGCACACGAAGAAGTCGTGCAGAACTGGGTGAGGCCGCCTTGACAACAGCAGCAGCAAGGAGTTGCTGTGTGCTGTGTGGTAGTACCGTCTTGCTCGTATGTGTGTGTGTGTGTGTGTGGTGTGCAGGAGGAAGAGCGGAAGATGCTGGTGGAGCATGCCGACGCCAAGATCTTCGTGCAGGAGAAACTCTGCCGCTCCGAACAGCAGAACGAGTCCCTACGAAGACAGGTCAGTGTCTCAATGACACACACACACATCCATCCATCCATCCATCTCTCTCTCACTGGTCCTGTGTGCTGTGTGTGTCAGCTGATAGCCCGTGACGCCACCATCCTGAAGCAGCGTGCCGCTCTTGACACACGGGACGCCGTCCTGGGCGAAAAACTCACCACCATGATCAACAACGGTGGGTACCAAGAGGGGGGCCATCTGTGAGTGAGTGGCGAGGCGACCAACTATCTCGGTGTTTGTGTTTGTATGTGTGTGTGTGTGTGTGTGGACACAGGCATGGTGCCAATGGAGGAGGTCGTGTCGAAGCTGAGTGCCGCCGAGCTCCAGGAGTACCGGCGCGACCCCAAGGCTGTCCTCAACGACATACTCGACCAGAACAGGTGTGCAGGGTGCAGCCAGTGGGCGGCCGTGAAGGCGCTCTCTCTCTCTCTGTGTGTGTGTGTGTGTGTGCAGGACGTACCTATGTGAGATGGACGAGTGGGTGAGCGGCCGCAAGGATGACCTCGTCGAGACGAAACTGCGGCTGCAGCAGCAGGAGGAGAGCCTCAAGGAAACCCAGTACCTGAGCTGAGCTAGACAGACTCACTCACTCAGCGCTACACACACATGGACTGCCTGCCTGCCTGCCTGCTTGTTCCCTCTCTCTCTCAGGAAGAGCCTTCAGCTGCTGACTGCGGCCCACAGCGACACAATGGCGCAGAAGACCGAAGCCGTCACCAAAAGGTGCGACCACTCGTCCACTCGTCCATTCAGCCACCTCGGTTGTTGTCCGTGTGTCGTGCAGCAAGCAGCTGGAGTCTGAGCTGCAGCAGGTCAGGAAGGACTGCCACCAGTGGGAAGTCCGCTACCACAACGTCGAGCGCATCAGCAAAGAGGCCGAAAAGAAGGTACGTGACAGTGACAGTGACACCACCACCACCACCACACGCCATTGCACCTGTGTGTGTGTGTGTCTGTGTGTGTGGGTCACTGGTTCAGGTCAAGGCGTTGGAAGAGGACGTGCAGCGTCTGCAGAGCGAGCTGACTGGTGTGAGGGGCGAGCTCACCGAGGCCACCAAAAGACTGTCGGAGGACGACATTCAGAGGGAGGCGGAGCGACTCAAGCAAGAAGTCGCCGCACTGGTGCGCACCCCTCCCCGCCACACACACACGTGCAACTGAATGCGTGTGAGTGTGTGTGTGTTTAGGAGCGGCAGCTGCGCTTACGTGAGGAGCAGGGCAAGGCGTTCGAGCAGCTCAAGCAGGAGAATCTGGACCTCAAGCTGCGCATCAACTCGCACAGGGAGGCGCAGCTGGAGAGCCAGGTGCTGGAGCTCAAGCAGCTCGTGGCGAGATACAAGGACCAGAACGAGGGGCTCCACGACAAACTCGCAAAGGTGCAGGTCGACATCCTCATACAGAAAACAGAGCTGACGCAGCTGCAGGTGCGCACAGACGGACAGACACACAGACAGACACCATGGATGGCATTGCTCTCTCTCTCTCTCTCTCTGTGTGTGTGTGTGTGTGCGTGTGTGTGTGTGTTGTGTGTCGATAGGACACACGAAAGCGTCAAGAGCTTGAGCTCGAGGCCGCCCAGAACGACGTCAAGCTGGCCCAGGCACAGAAGGACGAGCAGCTGCAGAAAACTGAGGAAAGGTATACTTACACACACACACACACACACACTTGCAGAGGAGAGAGAGGGAGAGACCTGTGTGTGTGTGTGTATGTGTCAGTTTCAAGCAGCGTCTAGGAGAGATGGAGGCCGCCTTGGGTGAGGTGCAGAAGAAGGCCGACTCTCTGCAAGAGGAGCGCGCGCAGCTCACGGCCAACATAGAGTCAGTGATCGAGCTGTGAAAAAGACCACCACGCAGACACAGTCACTGTCCATGTGTGTGTGTGTCTGTTTGCCTGCAGGGCGCTTGAGCAGGACAACAGCACCAGGGCGGCACGAGTGTCGCAGCTAGAGGAGGAGGTCAAGGCCCTCAACGAGAAGCTGGCCGAGCAGCAGGCCGCCGCGGCCACCGAGGAGCAGCAGCCTGCAGAGGCCCAGCCACAGACAGGTCAGTGACGTGACGACCCCCACTGCACAAGACACACATCATGATGTGGTTGGTCTGCACAGACGCTGAGTTGCTAGAGGCCAACGAGCGACTGCAGAAGGAGGTGCAGGCCCTCACTGAGGAGATGGGCAGCAAGACCAAGGAGCTCACCGAGCAGCTCGACGCCAGGCAGCAGGAGCTGGTCAAGCTGTCGGACGAGCTGCGCGAGGCGCGGAAGGAGATCGAGACGCTCACCGAAAACCGGGCCAGACACGAACAGCAGCAAGAGCAGCTGGAGGAGGTGCAGCGAGAGCTCACCGACGCCAGACAGACCATAAGCGACGACAAACAGACATACGAGGTCACTCACACCACACCACACCACACCGCTCGAGTCATCCGTCCACCCAATCGTCCCTCTCTGTGTCCCTCTCAGGCGGAGATCAAGCGTCTGTCCGGCCGCATAACGGAGCTGGAGCAGGAGCGCGCCACCACCCTGGCAGCAGCGGAGGGCGAGGGCGACCACGCCCGGCAGCCCGTCGACTCGGCCGAGCTGCAGGAGTACAAGGAGTGTCTGGCGGCGGCCAGCACCCGGTGCGACCAACTCAACACCAAAGTGCAGAGCCTCACTACCGACAGGTATGTGGGTGGGCATCAATGCTGCCCAGAGAGAGGTGGACGGACAGATGACCTGGTGTGTGTTCTGATTGTGTGTGTGTGTCAGGGACACCTGGCAGAAGAAGTACGAGGACCTACTCATGGCCTGCAAGATCAGGTAAGACATACCCCCACCCCCCCCCACACACACGGTGGGCAGGCAGGGAGAGGGTCACCTGCGTTGCTTCATCCATCCATCCATCCATCCCCCTTTGTCTGTGTCGATTCAGTGGTGGCATCATCAGCGAGGATGCCTCCCCAGCGGCAGCAGCAACCGCGGCAGCCGCAGCAGCAGCAGGTGGTAGTGCAGAGGGGCCCCTGACAAGCCGACCTGCCGCATCGTCGTTCCTCCAGGTCGGTCACTCAGGCATTGCGTGGCCTCAGTTGTGATGTTTGTGTGTCCAGCAATACCGGAGTGAGGAAGAGGCGGATAGCCGCGCGACTGAGCTGGCGGAGGAGACCCGGCGGCAGATAGAGTGGCTGGGGCGGTCGGAGGAGGCACAGCAACCACAGCAACAACAGCAAGAGCAGCCGCAGGTCACTAGTACTGAATATGGGAGGGAGGGAGGGAATGACTGACTGCAGTGTGCCTGTTTGTGTCGTGTGTGGCGTATGTGCAGGAGTGGTCTGGGGCGGCTGTGGACGAGCCAATGGCAGAGGTACACAGCCTCCTACACACACACACACGCCCGCGCGCGATAAGCGGCGGCACACTGATGGATCCTCCCGTCACGTCTTCTGTGTGGCCTTCGTCCAGGTGGCTGGAGGAGGCCAGTCAACCAAGCGCAAGCGGCCGCTTGGCGAGTCTGAGCCACCTGCTGCAGCAGCAGCTGCTGCTGCTGCAGCTGCCGTGGCCCCCAGCACTGAGGGCGGCGCTGCTGGCGGTGGTGGTGGGAATGCGGCGGCTAGTGGCACTGGCAGTGTGGGCGAGGCCAAGGCGAAGGCCAAGACGAAGCGGCGAAAGGTCGATGGGTAGACAGAGGCCGATACATAGTCTGTCTTTCGGTCGGTCTGTCTGTCTGCCTGTAGCCGGATGGATGGATGGATGGCGTGTCTGTCTGTCTGTCTGGACGTAGGTAGCCAGGTTGGTGCGACAGCTGACTGAGCGTTGGTTGGTTGGTTGGTTGGTCCACCCCTTCATTGATTTGGTCGAGGTCTGATCGACATCAAATTGCGAACATGCCACGCATGACATAAACACACCGACGACACATCGACACGTCTCTCTCTTGGTCGACATAGACGGCCGGCCGGTCACTGATAAATCGTTGCACCTCCGTGTGTGTGTGTGTGCGACGGCATTCGCTCATTCACTCATTCACACGCCATCAGCGGGCATGGACTGGGTGAGAAGGGGGTGGCTGGGCTCCTGCAGCAGCTCGTCCATCAGGTCGTCGTCAGCACTCTCGCGCAGCAGCTCAACCATACCCCGCGGCAAAATGGGCGTGTCTGTGCAGCGCAGCGACAGGGAGCCAGGCCACCAACACACACACAATTCACCACACCACACCCTGGCCGCTTAGCTCTGCTCCCTCCCCTACTCGCATCAGCGGCCTTCTTCGATCGGTGGCTGAGAGCGACGTAGCGGAAGGGCATGTTGGTGGAGTCATGCGCACCCTGTGTGTGTGACGGAGGGAGGGAAGAGGCACAAGACGTGTGTGTGGGGAAGCGAAGCGGCTGGGTGGGCGGCTGACTGACCGTGCGTATGTCAGGGTGGTCCACATACGGGATCTTCTCAAGCGCGACGCCATCTGCACACACACACACACACACACACACACAGAGAGAGAGAGAGGGCGTCCCACTGCCAGCGTCGCACCCACCCCCACACCTTCAAGAACGATCTTGCACACCAGCATCGCGGTGTCGGTCGTCATCTGAACATCATGGTGCGCAAACGCCCCTCAATCCGTCCCTCCCACAGGCACCTGCCCACCCACCTGCACACTCCCGAGGTTTCGTCTGTGAGGGAACCCTACCTTCCGCAGCTCCTGCGTCCGATCGTCCGACGGCACATTGCCTGGGCCAGACATCAATCAATCAATCACACACGGCACGACAGCAGCAGGCACACCACACAGCCCTGCTGCTCAACTCAGCTCAACTGGCCTGCCTGCCGCCTGTGTCTGTGTGTGGTCACTCACCTAGAATGCCCCCAAACAGCACCGTGTCGAACAGAGCGGCGTCTGCGGGCGTGAGCGGCTCGGAGGCGTCCATCTGACACACACACGCATACACACAAATGAAATGAAGAGGCCCGGCCCGGCCGCTCTTGATTGGCGATAGTGTCCTCCTCCTCACATCCATCAGCACAGTGCGCTCTCGCGGGAAGTCTTTCTGGAGATCAGCAATGGACTCTGCGGACACACAACAAAGCGGACACAACGAGGGCCCTTTCAGAGGTCTGCCTGCGGAGTCGTGCAGGGCAGGGCGTGGCTATGGGTGGCTGCCTGTGTAGACGCGCGGCGCAAAGCGGCTGTCCACACAGGCGAAGGACCTGCACTGACACACACACACGCAATGAGGCAGGCAGTCAGTCAGTCAACCAGCGGGTCGATCAACAGACAGGGATACCCACCTGTCCTCATTTGGCCACTTGGTGAAGGCGAGGCGCTCGTCCTTGACCACCTCGCACATGTGGCCGTACTCCAGCGCACACCACCGCTGAAATCATGATGCAGTCCAGCCAAACACAGAACAACGTCCGCTCCGATGCTGCTGGTTCGTTCCTTTGTCTCTGCAGCAGTGCGCATCTGACCGGCACGCCCTCCTCCAGGTGCTCCACCGCATAGATCTTCCCTTTGCCGCCGCCAGCTGCAGCGGCTGCTGCTGCCTTGACATCTGATGAGTCGGCCATCACTCAAGGGCAGCAGTTTCTGTCGCGCACTGCCTGAGGATCCATCTGCACCAATGTGTGCAGGATATCCTGCCTGCGTATTTTTGCCTTCTCCCCTCGAGGCGCCTGCGAGCTAAGCCGCGAAACCTGCACTGAACGACACAAACATCCTTCTGTTCTTTTCTCTTCTCTCTGGGACAGTTGCAGCAGCAGAAAGGCACGCAAGAAGAGCCGTTCATTGTCCCCTCAACTCAACAACTCACCAACACAACCGCCCAACGTCGGAGGGAGAGACCGACACAACCAACCACACCACCCACACCAACGACCCGACCTCTCCTCTGTCTGTCTGTCTGTCCTCTCTGCCTATTTCATCAAGCGAAGGAAGATCCACACACACACGCCTTGTCACTGGTCACTGGTCAGTCAGCTCTCGGTCACGGCAACCGAGTGTGTGTGTGGACTGTAACTGAGACTTCGGCGAGGGAGGGAAGGGATGCAGTTCAAGGGCGAGCGGAAGTACACGCCCGTGTCCATACCAGTGGTCAGTCAGCACAACACACACACGTGCGCAGACCAACGACATGAAGGCTCGCTCGGGCTGTAAGCCTTTCCCTCTCTGTGTGTGTGTCTTGGCTGTCAGGACATAGAATGGCGTAACCTAGTCTATACGGTCAGGAGCAAAGGTGGCGGCAAGGGCGGCGGCGGCCACCAGGGCTATAAGAAGAAGAAGGCCGTGGAGACGGAGATCCTTCACGGCATCAATGGCTGCGTCAAGAGCGGCGAGTTCGTCGCCGTCATGGGGCCTTCTGGCAGCGGCAAGACCAGCCTGCTCAACGCACTCTCCTCGCGCACATCTGTGGGCGTCAGCGGAGACCTCCTGGTAATGGGCTTTCACACACTGATGGATGGATGGATCGAGACAATGGCCGGGGTGGGTGCTCTGCTGTGTGTGTCGGGCAGATCAACGGTGAGAATCGGTCCAAGGCTGCCAAGAGGGTCACTGGCTACGTCATGCAGCGCGACATGTACGTGTGTGTGCACACACACACACAGAGAGAGAGAGAGAGATGATACCCCTGTCTGTCTCTCACACACGGTGCAGATTCTTCGAGTACCTGACGGTGTTCGACACGCTGCGGTACACCGCCCTGCTGCGGATGAGCAAGACGCTGACCAAGGAGGAGAAGATCTCGAGGGTTCGCTCCGTCATGGAGCAGCTGGGACTCACCAAATGCTCGTCAACCATCATCGTAAGGACTCACACGCACACACACACTCGCACCTGTGTTGATGGTGCCAACGGTGTGTGTGTGTGTCCATCAGGGGAACGCCTTCAACCGTGGGATATCTGGCGGGGAGCTGAAGCGGCTCAACATAGCCAACGAGCTGCTCTTCAACCCCTCACTCCTCATTCTGGGTGCGCTGCACTGCACCACACTCTCGCACACAGACAGACAGACAGGCAGACAGGCAGACACACAGATGGGCGTCGAATATCTGACTGGTTTGCAGACGAGCCGACGTCTGGCCTGGACAGCAGCAGCGCACTGGCGCTCACGTCGACCCTCAAAGAGATGGCAGAGAAGGCCAGGAGAACGGTACTCCCAAACCAGACCCACACCAAACACACACAAAGCTGCCACCGCACCGTGTGTGTATGTATGTGTGTGTGGTGTGGCTGCAGATCATATGTTCGATTCACCAGCCGTCGAGTCAGATATTTGCCCAGTTCGACCGGCTCATCCTGATGATGGGCGGCCACATCGTCTACCAGGGCGACGCCCATGCCGCCTACAGCTACTTCAGCTCAATCGGTACCCTCCCCCCCCCTCCAGCCCTCCCACGCCCCCACCCCACACACACCGACACACACCCTGTAGCAAACCAAACAACCAAGGCGCTTGTGTGTGTGTGTGTGGATGAGTGCAGGTCACCAGTGCCCCGTCGGCTTCAACATGGCCGACTACCTGATGGACCTGCTCAACGAGCCGCAGCTGCAGGACAAGCTCGTCAAGGCGTACGCGCAGCGCTGCACCGTCGACGACGAGGGCCGCTACAGCATGACGGGGTGCGTGGCCATCCTCCCCCCCACCGTCAGCACCACCACCAAGCTCGCCCTCACCCCCACAGCTGCGACAACCGACAAGGGCGCGCTCTCCCCAACGATGGCATCTTCTGACAATGACGCCTCCAAGACCTCACACACAGCAGCAGAGGACGACTCAGACCTCAGCAACAAGGTCAGACAGAGCCCCACCCACCTCCACCATACCGGACTTTCTCTCTGTCTCTCTCTCTGTCCGTGTGTCAGTCATCCGAGTCGCCCGACCAGGGTGAGGAGCTGGCGGGAATGGCTGACCCCGAGCCCGCCTCGCCCGTGCGGCGGCGGAAGTCGTCGCAGCACGATGTCGAGAGGGGGGACGCCCCCGGGTGCTCATCGCCGATTTCGGCAGCGTCGCCCCGCACGACCTACACGCGTCAGAAGAGCGTCAAGGAGCTGGTGGAGGAGACCACACAGACACCGCCGTACTGGGAACTGGTGCGCATTTCCCCCACCCCCCCTCACATACACACACAGACAGAGAGACAGAGAGATGTGTCACCTCTCTCTGCGTGTGTGTCCGTCACGGTCAGTGTGCGGTTTTGTGGCAGCGGGCCCTGAAGACAGGTTCAGGCGGCGTGCTGACCAAGCTCAACCTCTTTCAGTGCGTCGCCGTGGCCACCATCTGCGGGCTGCTCTGGTGGCAGAACCTCACAAGCTACACAGAGGCCAAGCTGCAGGACCGCCTGGGCATCCTCTTCTTCATCAAGTAATCAAGAGCCCCGACCCCACAGCCCACCCACCACTTGCCCCCTCCCTCTGTGTGTGTGTGTGTGTGTGTGTGTGCAGTATCTATCACGGCTTCATCCCCATGTTCTCGGCCCTCACGACCTTCCCCCCCGAGCGCTCGGTGGTGGCCAAGGAGCGCGCCGCCAAGAGCTACCCCATCTCCTCCTACTTCTTGGCTCGGTCCTTCAGCGACCTGCCCATCCAGCTCGTCTACCCGCTGCTCTTCCTGTGCATCGTGTACCCCATGGTGGGGATGCCGTGGACAGCTGCTGACGTGCTGGTAGGTGGGATGAGGGTGGGAGAGGAGAGGGCGAGAGGGCGGTTGTTGATGTGTGGACGGACGTGCTGGCTGGTGTGTGTGTGTGTCGTAGGGGACGGTTTGCACGCTGCTGGCCAATGTGCTGGTGGCTCACTCTTTTGGGCTGCTGGTGTCGGCTCTCTGCAAGGACTTCCAAACAGGTATGGTGATGCGTGTGGCGCAATCATTGCTTCCTTCCCTCCTCCTGTATGTGTGTGTGTGGTGATTGTTTCCTCACCGTCTGTCTGTCTGTCTGTCTGTCTGTGACACTTACACAGGCGCCATATCGATGAGCATCCTGATGCTGCTGTTCATGCTGTCTGGCGGCTACTACGTCGACAAGAACAACATCCCCCTCTGGATCTCATGGGTCTCGCGCATCTCATTCATCGGTCAGCCACACCTTCCCCCCCTCTCCACCCCTCTCCCCCCAACACCCTCTCTCTCTCTCTCTCTGTCTGTCTGTCTGTCTTTCTCTCTCTGTGTGTGTGTGGCAGACTACACCTTCAACGCCCTTCTCGCGTTGAATTTGGAGCATCGGCGGCTGTCGTGCGCCGAGCTGTCTAGCTTTGAGGTGTGTTCGGCGCCTGGCGTGAGTGACTTCAGCGGTCGGGAGGTGATGGACGTGTTCGGCCTTTACCTGACCTTTGGGGAGTGCATTGCCGTACTCGCAGGTCAGCCACACACACACACACAGAGAGAGAGAGAGAGAGTCAGAGACACACACATGGACGGGGCTGTGTGTGTGTGTGTGTATTGTGTAGGTTTCTTCATCGTGCTGCGGTTCACCACCTACCTGGTGCTGCGGTTCGGCAAGCTCCTCAAGCTAGAATGAGAATGAGACACAGGCGATCCCACTCCCAGAGAGAGAGAGAGAGAGAGGCCTGTTCTGTGGGTCTGTGCGTAACGCTCTGAGAGCTGGTGGAAGGGGTGCATATGTGTGTGAAGGGGACAAGGGGACAACTTCCTGAAGTTGTCGTGTGCCGCCTGTCTGTTGTTTGCCGTCGAGTCCCTCTGCTGACGACCTCCGGCCGGGGCAAAACTCTTGGTCCGAAGGTCTCGCGTAGCGGGATTCGACGGAGACAACCGACAGAGAGCACGAGACAGATAGAATGGTTTCGTGTGCCGGCTGGATCCGGTCCGTCTGTTTGCTCGTGTGGGGTGCGTGTGTGCGTGTGTCTTCATCTGCTCAGTGGGCGTGTACCATGGAGGGATGGATGGGGTGCATCGGGAGGGGCCTTCGTTGTTTGTTTTTTGAGGGGCCGAGGGGTTTCTTTCCTTTTCGTTTTCCTTTCGTTTTGTTTGCCGTCTGTTAACGAACGAAGTGCACATTGTTTTTCTCTGTGCTGCATTATCATGATGTGACAAAACCGTACCACACACCAAGTCGATCTTTTCTTACGGACCTCTTTCCGTGTGCGTCTCGTCCTGTCTCCCTTCTCATACACAGACAGCCAACACACACAACACAACACAACACAACACCAGACAGACAGCCACATTTGGCGGCCGGCGGGATGCATATTAGTCAGTCAGTCACTTTGAAAAAATTCGATTTGCTTACTGCCTGCCTCTCTGCTGTCCGTCCGTGTGATACAGGGAGAGAGGGGGGCGAGTGCCGTCCGTTGCTTTGCTTTCATACCGTTCACACCCACAGCCATCCATAAAGTGCACTGCACTCATCGAGTCTCTCCATCGCTCTCTGCTCTTTTTGCTTGCGCAGAGGGGGAGGACGGACCGATGAGATGAGGGCAGACACACACAGGCAGTGCAGTGGAGTGAAGTGGAAGGGTGCACGGTGCACACGGCTCTCTGCGTGCGTGTGCGTGGGTGCCCTTTTCTAGTGGATGGATGGATGGATGGGGATGCACAACACACACAGTTGTGTGTGTGCAGACACGACTTCATACGGACGGGGGAGCGGACACAGAGAGAGAGCGAGCATATAGAGGAGAGGCTGGCCGCACCACACACACACAAAGCGGGTGCAGCAGAGAGAGTCAGTGGTGCGAGGGTCCGATCCCCAGTAGTAGTAAGAGTGATTTTTAGTGCCTCCCTCGATGATTCATTAACGCTGCGGCCAGCTGATGTTTGTGTGCACGTGCGTTGCCTCTGCTGTCTGTCTGTCTGTCTCCCCATGTGTGAGCGTCCTCGCCTTTAAGCGCCTTCCTTGCTCCTTGTCCATCATCTCATCTAGCCTGACCATGGGTGTTTTGTTGGTTCTTTTCCCGTCTGGCTGCCTACGTCGTCGTCGTCACGTGTGTGTGCGTGTGTGTGTGTGTGTGTGTGTGTGGGGGGGGGGGGGGGGGGGG